ATTTTATTTTCAGCTTGTCTATGTATTTAGTAACTTTTTAAATCTACTTGTAGTAGTGATACTTGAAAGCTGTTGGGGATTTGACAGCATGTGTGGCGGGGTGTAAAGGTACAGGAATGAGAATACATAGGTGAGGGTGGTTTCAATGTTGAGTTCAGGATGAAAAGGGAAGGAAGATCAGCAGGAAGCAAGAAGACCGAGAGAATATGCAAGGCTCCTGGGACTCTCATCTGGGTGAGATTGAGGAAGTGGGAATGAGCTATGTGAGCTGTAGTTGGAAAGTTGGGATTCTTGTGTTGAAGCTTTGAGATGGGGGAAGTTTTGGTTGGTCAGGTCCATGAGTAAAAGGTAAAGAGATGAGTAAAAGGTAAAGAGATATACAGTCTGAGCAGCTCCATTTTCTTATGGTGCCATCTTTACTCCCTCTACAGTGTTCATACTTCTCTGTCTTTTGATATACCTTGGTCTCTTCATTGTACCAATGTACCTGTCCCACCACAGAACTCTGCTGCTTCTCCACAACCCCGGTTCTCTAACATACCTGGAGTGGTCTCATTCCTACTGTTGCCTGTGCCATCCTTGGTCCTTAGCTACTACACAATTGGTGCTACTTATTCTATCCAGGAGCCATAGCTATTTTTGACCAGTGCTTCAGCCATAATCACATATGAGCGGATTAATTTTTACAGTCCTTTTTGATTGCTCTGTTTAATATTTTATAATTGCTTTGGCCATGATCCTGCCTTGTGGGAGCCAGTAGAGCACAAACCCTAGAATCACACAGCCTGGGCTCGAATTCCAACCACTTACTTACTGTTTATTCATAAGCAAGTTAACCTCCCTTGAGTTCTCATCTATAAAATGGGGGTAATAGTATCTGTCTCTTGGGGTTGTTGTAAGGATTAAATTAGTTAATATAAGTAAAGTACTTGCTACTTGGTGATACAGTAAATTCTCAAGAAGTGGAACTGTTGGAGTAATGATGACAGAGACAATATTAATAATAGTAGTGGCACTGAAATATTGTGCTCAATATTGTGTTAGGTCCTGGGCCAGATTCATCGAAGAATATTGAAAAGGTCCTTGTTCTCGTGGAAAGTTTATATTCTCCTTGGAATAAAAACGATGACTTCCTTAAGACTATCTAGAAAAGGCCTATGAAAGGAGCTTAGTGTCTTACAGTTCAGTAAGTAACAGGGAATAGCCAAGTTGAAAACATATTGAGGTTTCAGGAACCTATATAGCTTTGCTGTGTTGTTTGTGTTCTCTATTGTCCTGTAGGTAATTAGTAAAATAATAATAAAGAGAATGACAAAAGGGCTAGTCTAGTTTCAAGGGCGAGCAGAGAAGGTAAGTATATTCATTTCCTTTCTCATAGCCGATCTTGTGCTCGTTGACTTCCATGACTGCCAAATATATATTTCAGGTAGAGTCTCTCTTCCTGAGGTCCAGTCCTGTGCCTCCAACTACTTCCTGGGTCTAATTACTGAGCTATCTTGTATGCACCAAATAACATGCTAAAACAAATCTTCTTTACTTCCAAACCTGCTTTTTATGTACAGCCACGACCCTGCCAGGAACTGTCACTAGCTACTAGCTGTTAAACTGTGGTATTTGAGGTAGCCATTTTTGACCCCACCTTCTTCATCCTCCTCCACTCAATCACTTACTCCATTCTATCAGTTTTATTTCTCAAACCCACCCACTGTCCCTTTGTCTTACTGCCCTGGGTTGGACCTGATCTGACTGTAATTGCACTCCAAGAATGAATTTCAAACATAGTGACTGGACCTTTAATGCACTTCATTTCATATTCATGACAGCTTTATGAGGTAAGTCACTTTGTAGTTGAGAAGCCAGAGGGAGACAGCTATAAATTCACTTTCCCAGTTGGTTAGAGACATATTCAGGAAACCAAGGTTGCTCCTAGTCTAGACTATTGCAGTAATTTTCTTGTCTCCTTTGAATTATTTCCTTTTTTTTAATATTTGAAAGTAAGAATGTATGTGAAAAAAATAACTATATAATGTAAGAAGTGAAAATTGCTCACACCCAATGCTACTCCTAAAGAGAATTCATCAATGATGCTTTTTGTTCTAGGGCTTTCTTCTTTGCTTATACACATGTATCTTTTAGCGGGCAGAATGAGGGACACCCTAAGACTCAAGCCTGTCTGCTCTGAATGGGTCCTGCCATCTGCCCCATCAAGACAAAACATACTCGTGTGTAAGATCTTTAGTGGAAGAATATAGTTAAAATAGTTTCCAATTAAACACCCAAAGTTCTACCCATCCCCTCATTGGTAAATGTTCAGCCAAACAGGGTTGACCCAAAGTAAGGCCACAGGGGCCCAAAAGCTTGCCAACAGACTAAGTCACTTCTGTAGGGACCCACAGGAAAGGGGCAGACAGAGCCAGGCAAGTCTAGAAGGAAAAGAGCAAAATCAAGTTACAAGTCAAGATAAAGGCTGCCACTGCCAGCCTCCCCCCAGGTCTCTCACCCATGTCTCTGTCTCCTTCACTTGTCTCCTTCCATGTTCCCAGGCCCCTGGCACAAGTCCAAGGCTGAGAAGCAAGTGTGGCTTCTTCACAGGCCTCTCTGCTCCATGTTTCTTCCTTCTCCAGCCCTTTCCTTCCTTCCAGTCCTCTAATCTTTTTCAGCTTCTCCTCCCTGCTCAGCTCCACCCTTCCTAAGGGTGGGGCAGGGAGCCTGGAATGTCCCCTTTCCCTGGGGGT